CCTATCAAAAGTTCAGGTAGTTGACTAAGAGACTGCACGAAAACAGTTTTTCCTAAAAAGAGAAAGGCTTCCTGGTTTGAAACTGAAATCTTTTAGCAGCTTGTGGGGGCCTACCTAACTCTATGGCGAAGCATGGGCGGCGGATGGCAATAGAGAATATTTCCTACTCATTTTCTCTCTAATTCTTCTCTTTGTAGCAGTGGCTTTTCTTAGTGTGTCCTCCAACTTAGTGATGTCTTTGATTTCGTCTTGATTACTTATATTAAAAGCAAGAAAGACCACAAGAAATTGAATTATAACAAAATTTCAACAACAATTTTGTTGAAAAACAACTTGGCCTAAAAGCTTAACTGAAAAAGAGGCATCTTCACGTGTTACATAAACCAAGCCCAAATTCAGACAGAAAGACCAACCCAAATACATCAGGATGTAATACATGAGAGATTCAAATCATGACCTCTACTTTAATATCTATTGTGTGTGATTTTTATCGTAAGCTCAAAAGTCTCAATAGCCCAAAAATCAGTAGATCGACGTGATCTTAAGGTCATGGAATCTTGAAGTCCGACTTAGCATAACCTCGTCGCGACCATCCAATACAACTGTTTGACAAACTAAGGGATAAGCCTTATCTAGAACATCTCGTGAGCGATAAGAACGAATCAATATCTGCTCAATCCTAGGACACAATCACTAAAATCACAAAATCGCTTACCAAGTTTGATGGCAATCCCGAATTCCTCTCTACTTCCTTTGGTGTAAACTTGTATAAATACCCCTTCCAAATATGAGAAAGGGGTTAGCAAATTCCAAATATGAAACTCATGGGTGCGAAGTTAGAAGTCAAGCTGATTCGAGGAGGCGACATGGGAAAGAGCCCATGGGAGAACAAGTTAATAATGGTCGCCAGGGGGAATCTCGCACTTAGTGACTTAGTACATAAAAGAAACGAAAAACGAAAAATAATTCATAGATCACTTAAACCCTCTCAAGTACTCGCTTAAAGTTAAGAAGGAATATCATACAAATACCATGGAATAACTTTTAATCATATTCATGGGGATTATGTAAATGTTCCATTCTGAAAATAGAAAGTGAAACAATTAGATCCTTTTTGAAGATTGGTACTAATACATGATCTAACATGTACAAGGTGAAAACGTCATTCTCGATTCTACGAGAAATTTTATGAAAGCATCTATTAGAATCATGAAGAGTCTAAGTGAAACAAACATAATCATATGAGATATGGATATTCATTCAAAACAGATAACAAAAATGAATATATGTGTGCGGAAATTTTAATCAGGTGAGCATACAGATGATATTCTTCATATTCTTCCTTAGACAATTTCCAGACCAAAGACAATTTTTCACATTTTCCACAAGCATGAGATGCAAGGCCATTGCTGTTTCAGTACACAAACTTAATAGTGCTCTAGTGGTCCATCTTTCTGCATTAGGATTTTCGTCTATGTTAAATAGTAAAATGGATTCTCCACTAGAATACAATCAATAGGTACAGAAAAGCAAAGAACCTAACAGTTACACTGTGAGTATTCAATGTTATTTTAGACCAAGAATAGACCTCTAACCCATAATAGTTTTCATGATCTTGGATCCTATGCCATTGGTCATTTGTCACATAAAAAGGAACTTGATCGCCATCTAATTGGCTAAAATTTCTCTGAATCTTGGGATAAGGTATTGAGGCTATCCTCATCACAAATTGGATGAAATATATGTTCCACAGGAAGCATATTAGAACTTTACCCCTTTGAATAAAATGGATATAAACTTTGACATATCTGGAAGAAAATTTACAAGAAGGGTACTGATATAGATTGATCTCAATAGCATATACATTTTTCGTTCTCAAAGAGGTATCTTTCGTCATAACTGTGTTTATAGAAACATAATAAGGCAAAACCTTCTGTTTTTTATAAGAAAGGGAAGTTTACCAATTACTGTGCTATTCTACTTAACATGTAACATGTAACCCCAGGAACAAACCTCACTTCTTAAGGAACATTTCTCTGAACTCATTATTTGACTTCGGCTTCTCATCTTCCACTTCCCCAACTTTTGGATTTGTTGAGGGGACACCAAGTGGTCTGAGTTCCTTGGCATTGCAAATGTGTTCCTCCCCTTCAGTTGAATGCTATCACTATGTGTATTAGTAGCAGAGTGTGGCGCTCTAGACTCCCTGAAAATCTGATTACTACTCTCCGCTGCCATTTAACCCAAAGGAGTAAGAAAATAAAAGGTAGAAGTGGGAAACACAAACATGCTAATGTCTATAGACTGCATTGCACACAAACAAACACACACAAGTAATAACAAAGATAAAACATAATTCCACTTAGCCTACCATGTTCTCCAGAGGCCCCATGACTAGCAGAATCCTTTCTCTTTTGCTTCAGATTTGATCTTGCAATGCTTATCCTCTTCCCAAGAAATTTTTTTTGTTCTTTCCTACAGCTGCAGCAAGGTGTGCATCATCGGCAAAATCCACATATGCGAAGCCCTTCAAAAATCAATTAGAGGATATTATAAATTAGTACGCAACAGTCCCATACAGATGCTCTACAGTTTAAAGGCAAGCTGGAATATGGGTAAATCTGTATTGGATTATGGTTGAGTCTCCTAAGCATATCACTTGCTAGAAAAATGAAAAAATATGCTCTTAGACAGTTAGACTTTTTATACTTAGAAAATTAAGCAATTTTACCATAATTATGGAATTCAACGCTTCTGCAGGTTTATTTGAGACTGCATAGTCATCTCTGGAGGGGACATTCATCTTAAAACCAAAAGCGTAACAACTAAATGATTTATTGATTGCATGCAAGGAAGAAATCAAATTGCAGTTTCAGTGAACACCCTTGAGAAATTTGATCAAAGAGAATGGACTGCAATTAGCAGTTTCTATCTCCCTGAAGCATCGGCCATGCTGATCTCCCAATCTTATTAAAATTAGTTTCTTATGGCTAATTTCTGTGGTATAGTCCACATTATGCATACATATGTTGAAGTTTAAAGGTCAAGCAATGTTAAATAAGGATTTGACTGTAAGACTGATGTGCACATGGAAGGTTTAGTGGATAGCTTCCCCTTTTTTTCATTTGAAACATAAAGGACAAAGAACACTGACAAATAATGAATGAGAGAAACAGAGTCATACCTTTGACTTTCCGGTGAACTTGTCCTATAGAATTCAAACAGATCCAATCCCACCAACATCGCTAAAGAATTTTTTCAAATCTTCAGAAGTTGTCTAAAAAACATTTAAAACCATCAAAATTATCTCTCTGTATTTGCCTATCCAGCGTCAAAAAAGAATAAAAAGCAATCTCTCTCTGAAGTGCGAGAGAATCTCTACTTGCCCTGAAGTTAAGGTTTGATAAAAATGCAGTACACTCGTCAGTGTATACTTTAGCTCTTCCAGTGGTGGAGTCTTTGATGTGCTACTCATTTCAATGCTCTTCAAACTTGGATTTTGCTTCTTCTACTTCCTTTTCTTCAGCTAAGTTTTGTGCTCATCCCCTTTCTTTCCCATGCACTTTGTTTTGGGTTTTGGGCAATATTTTTCTGCTGCTTAGCTGGAGACTGTTTGTCAGTCATATTTGCATTTGTTTTACTCTTTCCATTAACACTTTTCTTATGCGACTTCTCTTTCTGATCTATTAGTTTAAGAACAGATTTGGCTTCTTGCTATAACCTAAATAGTTGCAGCTCTTCCAAGTGGGGTGTAATATGAGAAAGGGCATCTTTACGCATTGAGTTAAAATAGCAAGGATTGCATACATTCAATAAATACCAAGCAGATGTATCATAATTCAGTAACATCTTTAACAATGTTATGTAACAACTTGACTTAAAAGCTTAAATTGATAGTTAAGCGTTCAACAACCATACTTAAAATTTAGCACAATCCCGTGCGCTGAATAGCCACAATCACAACTATAAATATAACATAAATACATATACAAGTTTATAATCTAAATAAGAGCCTATTTGTTATAAATTTTAAATGGTGTTTTATTTTCAAAAACAAGGAATATAAGGAATTTTATGAAAATACGTTTTTATAAAAATAAGTTGAAATGTTTTCCAAACAATGTTTTTGCATATAATCCTAAAAATTAGTGTAAAATTGGAAAACAAGAAAAATATAATTTCTCAGTCTTTATGTAGTTTTTAACTTCAAAAACAATTTTTAATACCAGATATATTTTCAAATATTTAAAATTTTGAGATAAAGCTTTAAGATTTTTAATTGTAACTTAGTTTTTTAAAATTATTTTTGAATCACAAACGAAACTGGCCCAAATCTCTTAAAGAGATTTAAAATACAAAATATATTTTCATATATTTAAAATTTAGAGATAAAACTTTAAAATTTTTAGTTGTAACTTAATTTTGCAAAATTATTTTTGAATTACAAACCAAACTAGCCCAAATCTCATATAGAGAGATTTAAACATGAAATCAAGAGAAAACAAATCCCGATAATCTTTTTATTTCAATCCCTTAAACTAGATAAGACTTAGATAACTCTTAAATTGATCATATTCTAATCTAGAAATCCTACACTCCCCTCCAGCCGGTGAAAAGATATTTATCATTCCCAGCATGGAAACTAGATTAACAAACAACTGTCTAGGCAGTCCTTTTGTAAGAACATATATTGTCTACTGACTTGTAGGCAAGTAGGTAACACACAACAGCTTATCTTCTATCATCTCTTTGATGAAATGTCTATCTATTTCAACGTGCTTGGTCCTATCATGATGCACTGGATTGTGTGCTATCCCAATCGCAACCTTGTTGTCACAGTACAACCTCATAGGCTCCGCACTTTTGATTTCAAGCCCTCCCAAGATTCTTCTTAGCCATATTAGTTCACAAATCCCATGAGCCATAGCACAAAATTCAGCCTCAACACTACTTCGAGCTACCATGTTCTACTTCTTACTTCTCCAGGTTACTAAATTTCCCTAAACAAAAGTGTAATAACCTACGGTCGATCTTTTATCATCCACAGAACCAGCCCAGTCCGCATCCATGAATGGTTCTACTTTCCTTTCATTCTTTTTACCAAAAAATAGCCCCTTCCTAAGGGTCATTTTAAGGTACCTTAGAATCTTACTCACAGCCCCAAAATGCTTCTCTAGTGGGCTATGCATATGCTGACTCACTATGCTCACCGGAAAGGTTATGTCAGGTCTAATATGAGATAGGTATATCAACTTCCCAACCAACCTTTGATACCGACCTTTATCAACCAGAGCATCACAACTCATTTCCTCAAATTTCAAATTTGGTTCAATGGGAGTCTCAACTGGCTTGCAACGTAGCATACCTATCTCCTTCAGTAAATCCAGCACATATTTTCTTTGTGAAACTGAAATTCCCTTTTTACTCCTAGCAATCTCCATACCAAGAAAATACCTCAACTGCCCCAAGTCTTTCAATTCAAAATCCCAAGCAAGAGCCTTCTTAACAGCCTCCATTTCTTCAAAACTATCTTCAGTAATAATAATATCGTCTACATAAACAATTAAAATAGTAATCTTACCTATAGAGGTTTTAAGGAATAATGTATGATCAGTCTGCCCCCGAGTAAAACAATACATCTTAATAGCCTTTATGAATTTTTCAAACCAGGCTTGTGGAGACTGTTTTGGGCCATATAATGATTTCTTCAATTTGCACACTTCTCTATCCTTTCCACTTCCTTCAAACCCTGGTGGCATTTCCATGTATACCTCTTTTGCAAGTTCACCATTCAAAAACGCGTTTTTTCACATCTAGTTGTTGTAAAGGCCAATCTAGATTTGTTGCAAGAGACGAGCACCCTGATAGTATTCAACTTAGCCACCGAAGCAAATATCACCTCATAGTCTACTCCATGCATTTGCATAAATCCCCTTGCCGCTAGCCTTGCCTTATACCTTTCAACTGTTCCATATGCCTTATACTAAATAGTAAACACCCACTTGCACCTCACAGTTGTTTTCCCTCTAGGTGAACTCACCAACTCCCAAGTCTTGTTTTTTCTCAAAAGCCTCCATCTCCTCTATCACAGTCTTCCTCCACTTTTTATCCCCTAATGCCTCATGCATCGGTGCTGGAACCTTCACAATTGAGAGACCAGTGGTGAATGCCAAAAAATCATCTGCCAACTTATCGTATGCCACATACTTAGCAATAGGATGCAACGTACAGGATCTAACACCCTTCCTTAGAGCAATACGTAAATGTAAATCATCATGCCCTGATTTAGACTCATCAGAAGATAGTTCTTCCTTATCTTGTGACTGTGAATCACTGGTTTCTTCTAGTTGGGATGATTGCTCATGCAGATCATTAGGTTTCCTTCCATTTTGATAGTCAGTTTTTCGAGAATAACATTGAAGACCCAGCTTATTTAATCTCTCCATACCTCCCCTTGGTTCCAATCCTTCCTAGGAGTTTGGTTTACCAAGAGTGGGCTATATAGTTAGAGTAGGACCTAAATTGGTAGGCTGACCACGAGACTGACTCATCTTTATAAGACTAGGCTGACCTATAGGAACCTAACCTGAATTAGGCTGATTAGGAGACTGGCTCATTCTTATAGGACTAGGCTGACCTATAGGAAACTAGGTGACTTTGAACTTTAACCTGGACTGGGAGACTACTGAGACTGACTCAAGTGTGGTTGTAAGGGTAACACTACTTCCCACGAATGACCTTCACAATCTCTCAAATTCTCCCCTGAAAGGAAGTGGGAAAGAATGGATGTGACTCAAAAAATGTAACATCACTATAGACATATAATTTTCTCTTTATAGGGCAATAGCACTAATAGTCTTTCTGTGTGGGAGAATATCCAAGCAAGATACATTTAATGGCCCTAGAGTCTAGCTTTCTTCTATTAGGAGACATAACATGTACAAAAGCAATACATCCAAACACCTTTACGGGTAAAGTATTTAGGATCCTACAACTAGGAAAGATCTTTAGCAAAGTCTCAAGAGGTGTATGAAAATCAAGAATTCTAGTAGGTACTCCATTTATCAAAGATGCAGCTATTAAAATCACATGACTCCAAAAATACTTAGGTACATTCATGGTAAACATTAAGACTCTAGTTACCTCTAATAGGTGCCTATTCTTTCTTTCAACTATCCCATTTTGTTGAGGGGTATTAACACAAAAGCTTTGATGAACAATCCTGTGATGTAATAGGTAGTTTCCTAGGATAGAGTGAAAATATTCCTTACCATTATCAGTCCGTAAAACCTGGATTTTTTCTCGAAACTGAGTTTCAACTGTTGAATGAAAGTTTTTGAACAATTGACGTGCTTCAAACTTGTTTTTCATCAAGTATACCTAACATACTCTAGTGTGATCATCAATAAATGTAATGAACCCCTTTTGAAGTCTTGGAAGGCCTGTGATAAAATCCATTGATATACTTTCCCATTTCCATTCAGTAATGCTGAGTGGCTGAAGCAAACCTGATGGTCTTTGGTGTTTTGCTTTCACTTGTTGACAAACCAAACACTTAGTCACATAATCTCCAATATCTCTCTTCATACCTGGCCACCAATAACTTTTCTTTAAATCTTGATACATCTTGGTTCCTCTGCAAGAATCTTTCTCTTCAACTCAGCATCTTGAGGAATGCATATATGATTTTGACAGTGGAGGACACCATCTAACAACTGAAATTCTGATATCTTGCCCTCAATCACTTGCTGACTTACTTTCTAACACCACTCATCAACAACTCTTTGTAATAATGTTCATTAATCAATAATAAAAGGCATCTTATTCTATATCGCGTAAATCATTATTATTGCAATATATATTGATATATGTCCTTAGAATCTTAGAACCGTGACGAGGGTATCAAGTGTTTCAAATCTTGATAGTGAGAACCTTATGAGCACATATGGTGGCCATTCTAGAAACGTCCGTAGCCCCAGTATTATTCTAAAGTAAAGGCACAGATAATACGATAAGGCTATCATAGTGTTGAATGACCCTGTCGAAAGGCAATGACTGATCTCACTTGTCAAGGTTGTTTGATGACAACCTTGTGTAACACATGGGTGCTTGCTGTAGACGATTACACCGTAGCAAGTTCACTGGACTGACCCACCAGAGGATTCTATATGGATGGTAACCCCAATGTCTATGGAACAAATCCTCTAACGAATGGGGAGGCATGTGATCTTAGACTTGAGATCACCAGAGCACCTTGCGCACCAATTGGTGCAGTTTGACACTAGCCTAACGTAGTTTTTTCAGAGCTGTCAATACGGTGGTGATTTGCTGCATCGAGGAGTGTATCAAGACTATGGTGGATTGACAGAGGATTCATCACTCCAGGTACGAGAGAAGTTATCTCACGGCGTAATTTAGTATATGGCAATGACGTTAAAAACTGTGGCCACAGTGGGATTGAGTTGTTGCTCATCCAGTTTTAATACGGGTCATTGGTCCAGAAACTGAATACAAATATCGAGAGTACACGCAGGTTGACAATATTTCTATACCTTCGTCTCGTAAGATAACATATGATGAAAGGATCGAATTGCACAGTAACCATATCGTTGACAGGTAGCTACTTTACTAAATCCGAATCTATCGGGTGGCCATGATGCCTGCTAGGGGCCAATCTTGGTCTGTGTATTAGTGAGACGATTAATTGGTGTAATCGCGATACTATACACTAACGGGTATTATGAGGAGCCTATGGCACACACATAGAGATAATTTAAGATCAGGAAGAAAGCAGGGTGTTTTCGTCTTTTAAGGTAAAGGGGATTTGGTAATTTCATAGTGCAATTAAATTTGCTGAGATCATAGCCTTTATTAATTTGTTAGAAAAATTAAATAAGTGAAATATGTTTAAATATGTGTTCGCACATATTTAAATATATTATCATTATTGTTAAATGTTAATATTATTAAATATATATTATGATTTTAATTGAGATAATGATGGAAAATAAAAATATCAAATTGGGAGTGTTTGGCAACATGGGTGGTTTGGTTGGAGCCAAGGCTTTCCATATTGGGAATAGGGCAACTTGATTATCTATAAAAAAGAAAAGTGTGTGATTATTCCATTATGGATTCCTTTGAAATTAAAACACACACCAGCCCCTCTTTCTCTTCCCACGCCAGCAACAAACCTTTGGCCTAAAATCAATTCAATGATTTGCTTTCTTCTAATCTGAAGCCAAAGAGGATCTAGCAAACCCTCTTTGGTTCTTTGAGATTGTATTCGTGTGGACTAGTGGGTTCGATCCTACACTTGGATCGGTAGCAAAACACTCATTGACAAATTGGAGGAGCCTCCAACGTGCGTTTGTTTTCTTTAAACTCAGATTATTTTTCTGCAGATTTATTTAATAGAATTGTAAAATATACCCTTGATCTTGGCTATGTAAACGATCCTTGTATTATATATTTTTGTTTTGCTGCGTATATGGGGACGTTTACTAACAGTGGTATCAAAGCCCAGGGTATGAATTTTACAATTTTTATTTGGATGGTTGATGACATGTATTTGATGATATAATATTGCCTTATAAAATCTGCCTTAAATCAATTTTTGAGAAATTGATTAATCGATTAATCTAATTTGTGATGACTACAAGTTGGTTTAATGGTTGATGGAGTTTGTTGAGATCAATGTGTTTGATTGATTGCAAAATCCGTTTTTAAGTGTATATGGTTGGCTGTATGAACAGATCTGGAGCTAAGATCTGGTATGCTCGCTGCGGCGATATAACCATCTTCACAGCGAGCGTGTTCACGCTAGCGCTGGTGATGAAACTAGCGCTCGCCGTGGCTATATAAAGCATCACCGCAGCGATCGTCCTCTGGATGAGCGCTGTACGAAAACATTCGCTTGCCGCGATGATAAATCCATTGCTGCGGCGATCATCCTTAGACTAGCATTGTACCAAATCACCATGGCGATAAGCATGACGTCAAGTTACCAATGCATGCCGCGGCGTCACCGCAACGAGTGCACTTCCGACGTGTGCAGGGGGCAAAATGTAAAGTTTCAAAACTTTGGACCAAACAAGTTCTAAAATTTCAGGGGGTAAATAGTAATTATTAGGGGGTAAATAGTATTGACCCACAATTTCAAAAATTGATTGTTTTTAAATGTACGTTGTGTACTTGTTTATATATTGCTGGTGCCCGGTACATGAGCCTTAGACCTAAGGGTGAATGTTTTAAAATATTTTGGTTATGTTGGTTGTATATTATTAAATAGGGCCTCCGTGTCCTGCCTTTCTCATATCTCGTGTACATTTCTTCTCACTCATTCCCCGAATGTAAATCAAGATTTCTAAATTTATGATGTAAAGATGTATAATTATTTATTGTAATATTAAAACGATATTTTGTAATGTACTTGAAAGACGAGCAAAGGACGAGGAAACCATACTTAAGACTCATGATGTTTATTACAGACCCTAGGTGACCCCACCGATCCCTCTAGGCTCGGGAAATCAGTTTTAGGTGGGCCATGTACCAGCACATTTTAATAGTTTGTTAGAATGCATGTAAGGTTGAATGTTCAATAACATGCCAAACAATGTCATTCTAACAAAGATATAATATGGTGAGACATTAAATAACAAAACCCTCAATTAAAGTATATAAGCAACTAAGCCTCCATCACCATGGTTTTTAATCAACCAATTTGTCGAAACCTTGTTCGCCAAAGCGAAGGGTACACTTCTACAGTGGGAGGTTAAAATGCATTGGAGTTTTCCTTAAGTGATGGGTCGACTTAAAATGACGGTTTTGCTGTGTTCGCCAAGCGAATGTGATAAACGTGACATAGGCATAGTAGAGCAATACACATATACGTGTAGTGTGACATGTGGTGTCCACTCTACGATACTAAGAACACCTTGAGGACGATGGCAGTAGTGACCATTGGATTGTGTGATTGGCATGTTGCTTTTCTCACATTTGAGGTTGATAGTGGGAGCTATCATCTGGTGTGGATTAAGTTTGTGGGCCTATCTAATCAACTCATTTGGCTTGTTCGCCAGAGCGAAGGTTTGAAATGGGCGAGGATAGGATCTCAGTCCATAGAAAGTCAACGGACTTCCAAGTTAATGGTGGGGCTTAGACCTTGAGTTAAATAGTGGGAGCTTCGTTTAATAAAGACATATTAAACAAATAATGAACATGGTATAACGGTTACTTTTTCTGCACTTGTAGATTCACTTAAATTTGAGCAAAATGATCCCAAATCAATGCGACAAATCATCAAACTGGGAGAGAAATGGAATGGTGAAAATTTCGTTGACTGGATTAGAGTATAACTAAATACTTTAGTCAAGCGATAGTTATACACCATTGAGCAAGCTCTATCACAAGAGCCTGTGATAGTTCTATCCATGAGACTGGGTAT